ATCTAATGTAGATTTCACACCCTACCTTAAGACACTTAACTATCCTCGAGGTAAACCTAACACAGCAGTACCTGTCCCACACATGTATTCACGTGCTTGTTCCTATAACTTCTTTCTAATTAGTACATATTGACCTGCTGTTCCGTATTCGTATCTCACACCACCTTTTGGGGTGCTGCCATTCTACGGACGTTTCTCAAGCACCAATCTTCCTAACTAGGTGTCCATTATGTACTCCTTGCCCTTGTTTTGGTTCTTAGCAACCCCAGTACCCACATTTAGACCGTCTTCTTACCCGGATTCTTTACTGATCCCTTCCTTACTTCCAGCCGGCAACCCGGAAGAGTTGGTCTGCCCAGGCTTTAGGTGCCTAAAAGATGCCCTCCCCTTGGTTCATACTTTTGGAGCGTATGTCCTTTTCCTCCGGTGCGACAACCTGGCAGTTCGGCTAGTGTGTCCTCCACCATTAGGACCTGGTCGCTCAGTTCTCCAATCTTAGACCCCAGTTCAAATTCAGCCCTCCTGTGGTACTATCATAAATCACTACTACCTTCAAACTCGGGACTTACCAAATGGGTTTTCGGTTATTCCGGTTTCTCAGATTTATTGCGCCAAAGCTCCCATAACTAAATGGTATGACCAAGATTACAGATTTCTAGATCCAACCGATAATCGACAACCGTAAATCATAACACAGGCTATTTTTCAAAATTCGTCATCCGTGAGATTTGAACTTTAGACCTGCCACTTGGAGAGGGTGATGACTAGACCACTACACTAAGTCGCCACACCTCTTGGAGGAGAATCATTTAAAAGGCAATGGAATTCCAAATACTTAGAAAAATCGTAATAATAATACTTTATGACTGTAATAAATATTATGTTTATTGAGTTTATTTGAAATAATAAATTGCTTATTGTTATTATTTTTTAGTCTAAATTTTAAAGTTAATAATTAAATGACTTTTTGGTGCTCAATATATTTATCACGTGATGATCGAAACTTTTTTGGGCGGCGATTTTACCCACTAGTATTTTTAAAAAATTAAATAAAAAAAAGCAATTCACTAAACTATTTTTTCTAATTTGCTCAATTTATATAATTACTCAAAAAAATCAATAAAGTTTATTTTCTTACTATAAAATTATCCAATAACTGAAAAATTATCATTTAATAAACCTATCATCAAAAAAAATTATATATGAAAAATTTATAAGATATATATAAATCTATAATAACATATCATCTTCATACAAATATAATTCAATTTATCCACAAAATTTAATCGACACATTAAAATTATATGCTTCTTACTATATTATATAGTACCTGTCATTAACCGAATTATTTAATAATCACATTTTAAACCAGAATCTATAATTGAGTGTGATAGTTAGAAATATGATAATAAGAGCAATCAACCAAAACGCAGTAGTTTTTACTTCCTCGAAATCAAGATTGTGATAAATATGTACGACCCTGAGGCCCTTCTTAAGATCTTTATCATTGGGCCAACAGAGATTTTTCATTGCTTCATCCTCCGCCATGAAGTGAACTACCCACACTTCGCTGGACTTAAGTAGTTTAGAGTAGTTTAGAGCTCGACTGAAATGGTCAACGAGATCTTTCTTTCTTAGAGTTGCTGCCAACTCTATTGCAACGCTATATCCGGGCGACTCTATTACTAAGTAAACGTATTGATGCTTTTTTTTATTTTTAGATCCACCAACAAGATGGTATTTTCCTGTAACTTTACCGCCTTTGTCCCTAAGAAAATATGATAGTCTATTATGTAATTCTGCTTCATACGCGCTTTCGCATAGTACTTTATTTCCTTTTAATGCTTCTATACATACATTTGCAGTCTTGTATGCCTTTATATTTCTGTTGAAAATATTTCGATCGAATCTACTAACGCAATATTTCAAAATCTCATAGACGTCAAACCGAGATTGATTATTTACGTCTATCGGAGGTATATCTATTGGGCAAAAAAAAAAAGAAACCCCACATTTTATTAATAGATAAAGAGAAATTATCTATAATAAATCATACACAAGAAATAAAGTAAACAAAAATAAGAATCCAAGTTACCTTTTAATAACTAACGTTCTGTTTAATGATCCTTATACTTAACAAAATGGATAATAATCCCGTTATTTGTTGACTAGAAATACTTTACGGATTTAAGAAAAGACGTGATTGTCTGAATGAATTATTTTGCTGTGAAAAAACGATCTATATATAATTTGCGGTAATGTTACACGAGAAGACAAACACTCTCTAAAAACATATGATCTATGATTTGTATCACCAGCACACGTCTCTTTTGCTGAGAATTTCTTTTACTTGCGTTTATGCAAATCTAGTCCGGTTCGATCCTAAGATTTAAAAGGATGGTCCCAAACTTCGTCCTTAATCATATAAAAGTATAACGAAAATACAATACATTTTATAGGACTTAGATCTTGTGAATTGAATCTACCGAATAAGTTCATCTAATCAAATTAATTTTGTATTGTTGTAATAATTCAGTTCAAGATCTAAGTCCTATAAAATGTATTGTGTTTTTCATGTAATTTAAGGACCGAATCCTTACCTTCAAGGATTTGGTTGGGACCCGATCCTATTTATTTATTTGTCGCGTACTATTTTTTGTTATATTTACTCTAAACAATTGGCTTTTAGATCTGAATCATAACTTCCTTTAAGTACCTTACTTTCATGTAATTCATCAATTATTTTCTGTTGCACTCTTCTAAGCATATTTTTATTCTGAACTCTTGGCTTTTAAATAACTTCGCACTCTTCAATCGTAGATTCTTACAATCCTAATATTTTTGTAAACACCGAACGTGAGCTACTTTGACTGGAATAGTAAGTTTTTTGTTCACTTTCTATTTTGTGTTTTATTATGAAAAGTAAAATTTTTTTTAATCTATTTGACTTTCTAGAAGCTATTAAAGCAAAAAAAAGTGACATGAAATATTTCTCATCTGTTACCGCAAAGTTATCAATAATGCATTGCTACTATTATCAGATAAGATGTGAAAAACTCTATCATGGCATTAAAGAAGGTGCATATATTTATTATTATTATTTATCATTATTATTATTACGAAAACAAGGAAAATTCTTGAGTCTCCATAGCTTGGCTCGAAATTACCCTTTCAATTCAGGTACTCTCGTTTGTTATTATTATTTTTTATTATTATTTTTTAATTATTACGAAAATGGTGGAAATTCTTAGTCTATAAGCTTCCCTATAAAAAAAGTTAAAATAGAAAAGTACAGAAAAATACATGGAAAAATAACTAGGAAAAATACGTAAAATACCCAGAAATTAGTATGTAATTTACAGGTAATTTTGCACTTTTTTAATAGTTTTTTTACATGCAAAATTACATGTTCCAAACACGGAAAATGTACCATTTACGTATATTCGAAGCATATAATTTTATAT